CCATTTCTTTCCTTGTCAGTAATCTAAATATGTATTTGTTTGGTCAGCAGATGTTAAGCACTTAATATTAATACAGGAAACAGATACCCAAATTCTACTCGGATGGAGAGCAACGAGGCGATTCCCTGTGCTGGCGAGACTCAGGGAGCCGTGGTCCCGCACACCCACAGAGGGGGCAGTGCAGGGCTGACAGGGGGTGTGCAGATTCCTGTCCTTCACCTGCCACAGCTCAAAAAAGACAGTAGGGAATGAAATCCTGGGGAGGGGGGAACACACGCCATGGTGGTGCGTCGACATGGTGCTCCAGGTCTCAGTGTTGCTGCAGCCGAGCAGACAGTTCCGTGCGAAGGCCATGTGTGTGGACACGGGTGTGCTTACGTGTGTCCTCCCTGAAGGAAGAACGGTCACGCTGAGGGGAGAGCCTAGGGGCAGCGTCCCCGCTGGCCTCTCAGGAAGCGTCTGCTCCTCCAGTTCAGGGAGGAGCCCGGGGGGGGGGGTGGCGTGTGGATAGACAGCATCTGCACGTGAGATAGTGGAAGGTCCTGGGCTTCAAAGTTTTTAATGTGTGAAGTTTAAAGAAAAGAAAAAAGACTTCTCCATAAATTCATCGTCAGTGAAAAAGAAAAACTGGGACGGAAGGGAAAAGATCTATTTGTAGCTCAGCCTTAATCTCGGAGGCTCTTTCATGTCTGCTTCACAGCCTGCTCCCTATGATGATCTTTCATCAAGAAAACGCCTTTTCCCACTGATGTGGAGAAGCCTGTTGGCACTGAGCTTGTGTGACCCAGCAGAACCCTGGCAGACTATAGGGCGAAGAAGATGGGCAGTGGGTCACGTTGCCTGCAGACCACGCGGTGTCCTAGACCACGTGGAATCCTTGCTGCCTGTTAGCAGTTTTAACTGTAGAGGACGATGGAGTCGATGTGGTGGGTGTGTCGCCGAAGTATCTAAGTGTCTTACGGGTAATGTTCTTAGACTGGATAAACACCCACAGCACAGTTGTTTTATAAAATCTTTCTGCATTAAACGACAGCATTATTAAAGACAGTGTTAGTAACGGAGGAAGGCTTTTTGAATTGTTGTTCTTCTTTTTCTTTAATTACTACTTAACCTCAAAAAGTTCTCGGTAGAGGTTCACAAATACTAATTACCACCATGTTGTACCTAAAGCACTAGAATATGTGGCAGACTCAGCAATTATAGAAATCCTGGCTGTAACAGAGAGCAGGTGTGCAGCTGCGGGTGAACCCACGCAGTGTGAAGCGTCACTGTCACTGGGGGATGTGAAACATCACTGTCACTGCGGGAGGAAGCTCTGGTTAGAGGAGTTAGAAGGCCAACAAATATAAACTGGCCTTCTGTCATTGTCTTTGCATTCATCTTTTGTGTCTCTGGTTATATTTGTTTCTAAGTATTTAATTGTGTTGCCTACGGTAATTGGTATTGCTTTTCTTATTTGCTTTTTTAATGTTTTCTTTGCAACTGTAGAGACATTCAGCCGATTTTTGGATGTTGGTCTTGTATGCTGCTCCTTTGCTAGTCAGCCACGTCGCACAGTTTCTTGTTGAATCTTTGTCGGGTTTTGTATTTGTTGGAGGTGTTGGGTTGAAGGAGGCCTAGAGAAATCATTTGGAACAGCCCCGTTTATCGCTGTGTTATTCACATTTGTGAAGACGTGGGAGCAGCCAAACGGCAGTTGGATAGAGAAACTCCAGGACACTCACATACACGAACACAACAAAGCCCTGAAAAACAGTGAACTTGTAAAACATTGCACAACGTGCATGTGTCTGCAAGACATTTGGCTGAGTACAATGTCACGAAGGGATAAGAGCACTTATAGTTAGGATGTGCACGGTACGGGAGCACGCAGGGAGTGGGTAGATGACAGTACTGCACTGGAGTAGACTAGGGCTGCCTGGGAGGAATGGAGGATTAGACGCTGTATGCAGCCAGTTAACAATCTGGAGCAAGACCTGTATTACAGAGTGAATGGGGCAAGGAGGCGGAGGACAAAGATATCAGTGAATGAAAACCTCCCCTTCCTGTACACTCTCAGCTACAGTTTGAAAGAAGGGAGTTAGTGCAGAGGTCTGTGTAAGCTGGACTCAGGAGAATGTGGTCTTGTTAGAACTAACTACAAGGTGATATTTTTTAAAAGAAAATAATAACTTTCTGCTGAAAAAGTAAGACTTTTAGAGAAAGTAATTTGGGGTCACCCCGTCTGACGGTGTCACGCAGTGTGGTGTGTAACCACCTCACCCACTCGGAATGCAGTTGTCTGAAGAACGCAGTCGTCTGAGGAACGCAGTCGTCCGAAGAACGCAGTCGTCTGAAGGCAGGTTTGGGGAATGTGAAGGAAATGATAGCCTTTTGACAAGGAGCCGAATATTGAATTCACTGTCCATTTTCATTCACGTGACCTTTGATCTTTCTGCTCTGGACAATCCAACAGGAAATGGGGCCTGAGATGGGCTGCGTGTTGAATGTTCGATGTTCTGCTTTTGGCTTTTACGGCCCTGTGGACATGAAGGGAAAAGACTAAGCAAACATTTACATGTTGCACTGAAAGGAAATAAGAAATGAGCTACAAGTTAGCTGGCCGGCCGGCCTCATGCTGTTCCATTAGAAGACATTTCCTTGTCTGCTTTCTATATGGAGAGGGTTCTGCCGTGAATAGTCTGCACGTTCCTCAATGCCTGGCTCTTAAGCCCTCATGGGGTGACAGATACAGCCTGTCTCTTCAGTTCTTTATGGGGCCTGTGTTGTTGGCGTCTTTCCAAGACCAAGCATCCTGGCATTGACGCACTCTTTTCTTTAAAGGAATGCTCCTCAGATTATTTCTAATTTCTCAATATTTTAAGGTAAAAAGGATGAGTTATGTGCCCTCTCCAATTCCATGATGGAATACTACACAGCTCGCAGGAGCAATGATTTTGAAAATTACTACATAACTTGGGAGGGATTGGAGAGCATTATGCTGAGTGAAGTAACCCAGTCCCATAAGGACAAATACTGTATAAGACCATAATTTAGGAATAGATAACTAGTAAAACTGGTATGATCCAAGGGGGGAAGGTAGGAGTAGAAGGGTGAGGATGGGCAGGGGGAATCATAGGGGTGCACAGTTCGATGGGTAGAGGGAGGTGTGGGTCAAGGGAATAAGACCCATTATGAAAAACAATGTATACAAACTTTGTAAGCAAACCAGTATAAAATACAAATTTCTTTAAAAAAACAAGAAAATATGAAACTGGAGTTTTCATTTCCCGTAGTAGTTGGGAAGAAAAGGTAGATGGCTGGGCACACGGTGCAGGAGAAGGTGGCTTCAAAGCCTAATGAGGAAGGAGCTGTGCTGCCAATACAAAGGCGGATGGTTCAAGTCCACCAGCCACTCGGTGGGAGAAGGATGGGCCTCTGTGTGGCCTCCTGCCTGTGCAGACTGGCTGCAGGGTGAGCGACGCATCCCAAGGGCTGTCGGCAGTGAGCTGAGCGGAGCTGATGGAGTTTCCAAGGCTGCACATCTCTCTGCAGAAGCAGGTGTGAGCTCTTACACCACAGAGCGGCCGGTGGGTTCAGTGGACCTTTCCCTTAACAGCCAGCGCTTAACCACTCACGACGGGGCTCCTGCAAGCCTGGGAGTCCGTGTGGGCAGTTCTCCTGTGTGTCTGCGTAGAGTGTGTGTTCCATGAGTTACCCCTTGACGGGCCTTACTGTAGCTCAGGAGAGAAGATGCGACCCACGCTGTCACCGGCACACAGTTGTCTCCGGAGCTGAGTCTGCACTGCACTGTTGGCACCGTGTGCCCAGTGCAAGCAGTGTCTCAGCTGCACCATCTTGTCGTATTGTCATCTTCTTATATTTTGGTAGTTTGGATTTTATTGGTTTTTACTTTCCTCTTTAGATATAGTAGGTTCTTTATGTAGAACTTTATTCCCAGTGTTATGAGTTCTTGTTGTGTATCACAGGGTCGGAACTGACCCTCCAGCAGTTTTCAGAGGCAGTTAATCGCATGGGAGGATATTGCCCATTTTTCTCCCACAGAGCAGACGGTAGCCTTGAACCATGTGCCTTCAGGATTGCAGCACAGCTTCTTGCACTAGGCCACCAGAGCAGCCTGGGTTGTGAGTAATGCATATTTTTTTAGTGGAAATTTTGTCTCACATACTCTGAGTGTGTTTTCAAGGGGAACCAGTCCTGGAGAAAAGATTTCGTGCCAGTGAAGTTGGAGGGTCAGAGAAAGACCCTCACTAAGATGGGTTGATGTAGTGATAGTGGACTTGAGCTTGGCAGGGATGAGGAGGCACGAGATAGAGCAGGTTCAGATCGGCTGTTCAGGGTCACTTGGGGTCATAGTTGACAATCACTTCAACAATAGAAGTTCTTTGAATTGTCAGTAACCTTGACTTTTCTCCTTTACAAGAGTTGGGCCCGTAAGTGACCAGTAGAGCTGTGTAACACATTTACTTTTTAATAAGCAGAGACCCTTACGTATTGAATGTAGTAACTAAAAGCAAGGATGTCAGTTTAAAGACTGAGATGCACCTGACTCAATCCATGGTATTGCCACTTGCATGATAGTGAATAAGGAAACCCAAGAAGAATCGATGCCTTTACACTGTGGTGTTGGCGAAGAGTTCAGAATATACTCCTTTATCTGCCCACAGAGCACACAGGTCAGTGTCAGAAGAGGTGAGACCACCAGAGTGCTCCTTAGAAGGGGAGAACATACGTGAGGCATGTTGGCAGGGAGGCCTGGTTCTTAGGAGAGGCCATCATGCTGGGAGGGTAAAGGGTCGGTGAAGGAAAGGAAGACTGAGTGAGCTGGACGGACTACGTGAGGTCAGCAGGGGCTTCTGCACAACACAGGTTACGAGGACGGCGCGAAGCAGGCCAGGCGTCCACCTGTTGTACGTGGAGGCTCTGAGAGAGCATGAGCTCAAGGCACGTAACAGGAAGAGCACAAAGAAATAATGAGAGCTGATACTATTCTGTTTCAGGGTCGAGACCTGGACTGCAAAATTCAGGAATACAGAGAAGCCGGAAAAACTTTCCCAGAAAGTCAAATAATGGACTGGTTTATCCAGCTGTTACTGGGCGTGGCCTACATGCATGAGAGGTACGTTTATTTGCTACTGGGAGACAGGACTTTGAAAAATTTAACACTTGGATGTGAACTTGAAAAATTATTATTTGGGATAAGTGTTAAAGAAAATAGGTAATAGGTACAAAGGTAAAAGCAGGAGGTTGCAGTAAGCCTCGGGAGGGTGGCGTGCAGGAGGTTCCTGGCAGTCTCGAAGTAGACGGGTTCTGGCTGGAATGAGCCCCGGGTCACACTGGGAGATACCAGTGCTAGGGGAGGTGCCTCCAATCCCAGGATGAGTTGAGTCACTGAGCTGGGAGATAGACTTTGGCCTCAGGGGGATAAGTATGCAGGCCAAATGCTAATTTTTATGTGAAATATTCTCTTAAACGACCATGGTGTTTGATGACTTTGTTATCTAATTTGCTCTTGACTCAGAGGGCACTCTGGTGGCCTAGTGGCAAGAAGCTGCACTGCAGTCCCAAAGGTGCTCAATTCAGATCCACCAGACACTCCACTGGAGGAGAGGTAATTTCCTCCCATGCCAGTCGGATCTGATTCCACAGTATACAACAAGAAAAGGAAAAAAAACAAAAAAGCTCTTGACTCAAAAAAAGCATTTAAGAAGTTTTTATTACTTTCCCAAGCTTAGAAGTAAACTGTTTGAGGTGTTAAATATTACAGAATCACCAGAAGCAATGCATACATTTGAAAATATGGGCGTTGACAGGCAAATGAATGTAGACCCGATGAGCTGTTTGTGAAGGAGGGCACGTGGAAACCTTGGACGTGACATGCTTCTTGAACACGAGTGATTTAGAGGAACAACAGTCTGCCTTTCCTGGAGTCGGTCTCTCCACAGGGACTCTGTGCTCTCTGACGGCGTGAAAAGTGGGTGGATTCTCAGTGTGTGGCCTGGTGTCTTCTACACACCTGCTCAGGAAGACACAGCCACTGGCTGATGGGCAACACAACAGTCATTTCATGATCTGATGTATTCATCTGAAGGGCCGTCATTTATTATTTTTTTTTTAAATTTAAGATTTTTTTTATTGGGAAAAACATATTGGGG